GGTTCAATGCTACTTTAACACTGTGACCATTTATTGAGATCAACAATTTCCTTCACCTGATGACACACACGCGCGCACACAGTCAATACAAAGGATGCTTATAGGTCCTTATCTATCGCAGTCCTGGTATAACAGACGTTATCATCACTATTTACACTTTCTTTAGCACTCTGAATTTGAGGTTATAGAGAACAGCGAAAAACACAGATTTTGTTTCCGAATTATTTACGAGTAGCAGGCACTTGGTGACTGTTTGGCAACTGTTTGTCAACTAACTTGTGACTCTTTGTCTGAAAACACTGAGGTCCCCTGGATGTCAGTTCCTCTGCTAAGTCCCCCCCCCCCCTCGATTTATTTTATCCGTCTTTAGTGCATACATTCATCTATCCCCTCTTCTCACTCGCACTACATGTTTCGGCACAAAAGTGCCATCTTCAGGTGCTGATCCAATCCACGACAAACTAGTTCATTGCATGCCTTGTCTATACATACTAAAATAACTAAAATATATATTTATCATATATACTGATAAATGTTAAGTGTTAAAATATTAAAACTGTACAGGATATTTCATTCCTACGTCGTGTTTCATTACGCGAGTCACTTCTATCATCTTCTGTTGGAGCACTCTTTCACTATCGTGTATTGTGCTCTGTGTTGCGTCTTGCTCCTGTGACTGCGTGTGTTATACTGCTAGACGCAACACAGAGCACAATACACGATAGTGAAAGAGTGCTCCAACAGAAGATGATAGAAGTGACTCGCGTAATGAAACACGACGTAGGAATGAAATATCCTGTACAATTTTAATATTTTAACACTTAACATTTATCAGTATATATGATAAATATATATTTTAGTTATTTTAGTATGTATAGACAAGGCATGCAATGAACTAGTTTGTCGTGGATTGGATCAGCACCTGAAGATGGCACTTTTGTGCCGAAACATGTAGTGCGAGTGAGAAGAGGGGATAGATGAATGTACGCACTAGAAGACGGATAAAATAAATCATGGACTTAAATCAGTGCAACAGGACGCTAAAATATAACACTTCCCCCTTAATTCCACTGATTGGGTATTTTTGAGAACTGGGGTTTACACAATTTCTGGAACTCCAGTCAGCTAGCTGCAATTTGGGGCTTTGACCTTAAAAGTCCTAACGTCGTTTTTGACAGTACACTGACAGATAACCTGCTTGGCGTGGGTTTCAAAACCGCCTATTTTTAAGTTACGACGTGCAGAACCTGTCAGTGATCGAATTCTCAAAGTTTGCCACCGTGTTACTCACAAACAAAATTTCTCAGAAAAAGCCACAGGGAGTGCTTCCTGTGTAACATCAAGATTTGGAATAAGTCCATTCCTGAAAACAAGAATGTGACTATGTCCCACTGGCTTTGGTATTACTTGTTACCTGCATTTAATTTTTTGTTACTGATTATTCTAATTATACTTAAATTAGTGGGTGACAGTGGAGCGGTTACACAGCAGACAAAATAAATGCTTGCCTGAAATACTCTACTTTGTGGCGACATGTAAAGACGTTAAAATTAACTACAAATATGCGTGTCCAGCTGCAAAACGATCGATCAGCTGAGATATTCTCACATCAATTGCTGAAAATTGGGAACGGAAAGGTGCCTGTTGATCTGACCTCAGGACGAATTTCATTGCCTCATAATTTCTGCAATTTAGTGACGTCAAAAGAATTGGTTGAAAAAGTATTTCCCAATATTCAAACCAATTATAAGAATCATGATTGGCTGAGTGAATGAGCTATTCATGCGGCCAAGAACAAAGACGTCTACGAACTTAACAATATCATTCAATCTAACATTCAATGCGAGGCAGTCACATACAAGTCCGTCGACACTGTTGTGGAAGCAGATGAAGTGGTTAATTATCCAACAGAATTTTTGAATTCACTCGATCTGCCAGGTATGCCACCTCTGACGTACTGCAATTGAAAATAGGCGTGCCAATTATCATGTTGCGTAATATCAACCAGCCAAAGCTTTGCAACGGCACGCGGCTTCCAGTAAAAAAATTATTGAGCAACGTCGTAGAAGCAACAATCTTGACAGGACCTTTCAAAGGTGAAGATGTCGTCATTCCTCGCCTTCCTATGATTTTAACGAATGTGCCATTTCAATTTAAGAGATTGCAATGGACTGGAGTTCTCTTCAACCTATGGCTCAGACTTTGAAAACACAATATAATGTAACGTGTTCAGCTACTGAAGACGCCATTTGGATTGTTAATTGGTTTATTTAACAACCTATAAGTCTTGGCTACAATTAATTATAACCCTGTTATGGGTTTACACAATTTACAACCCTAGACAATAATCTGTTTACTCTATCTTCAGTAGTCTACACGTATTCACAGTACGATATGGGAGCTATACAAGTGTCACTGTATCACACACTCCCAATTACTCCTCTTGTGAGCCAAGCATCTGCTTCTCACACTATCACTTCTAATCACATGTTCCGATATTCTTCTTTCCGCTACAACTGAAGTCGGTGACTGTTCCAATTCAACTGTCTCCAGTGGCAACTACATTTCAACTTACTTTGGTGGCTGCTTCATTTTAACTTGTAACAAACTCTTGAATAGTGTTTGTTGCTCCTTATTTAGCCCCGTTACGGACAACTCAGAAAACAGTTATGTAATAGGCACCACTGTTGCGTAACATCGTGTTTACCGACTGCCTAGGAACAGTCGTTGCACGGACTACCCGTCGTGTTTACAAAGGCATTGCTGAGCAGCGCTGCCAGGAGTTGTTTATGGCTACGTAGCAACTGCGGCATCCCGTGTTATGTCACCGCAGGGAAATGGGTGTCTGCCAAGCATTGCACACTGATGGACGGAGTGGGGGTATGTGACATCACTCGTGAGATCACAGAGTTCACGCGCCCCCCACCTCCCGCTGCGCCATCCATGTCACAATAACGACACTGCACACTTTCTGAGGAACAAAGAATATGAATTCTACAGTTGTTCAAATAGGAAGTGGTCATTTCCTACCTTCACCCAAAGAGAAAATTTCAATATAAAGATGACACACTAAATACAACAGTTCAATCCAAATTCTTATTTTTGTATCAGTAATCACAGTGATCTGTGAGACAGTACATCAGTTATTTGTACACTTCAAGAAAGTCTATGATTCAGTTAGGAGGGAAGTATTGTACAATATTCTGATAGAGTTGGGATACCCATGAAACTAGTTAAGCTGATTAAAATGTGTTTAAACGAAACATATAGTAAAATCTGTATAGGTAAACAGTTGTCTGATAAACTTCCTATCCAGAATGGTCTTAAGACAAGGAGATGCTTTATCGCCACTCCTCTTCAACTTTGCTTTAGAATATGCAATTAGGAAGGTCCAGGAAAACCAGGGTGGACTGAAATTAAACGGGACACATCTGCTGTTGGTCTATGACGATGATGTTGATCTACTGCGTGATAATATAGATACCATAAAGAAAAACACACAAGAAGTAAAGAAGTATACATAGAAAAACTAAGCATATGTTGCTGTCTCATCACAAATATGCAGGGCAAAATCATGACATAACGATAGGAAACAGATGTTTTGAGAGACAGGATGGGATGGTATGGATTGGCTGGATCTGGCTCAGGATAGGGACCAGTGGAGGGCTCTTGTGAACATGATAATGAACCTTCCATAAAATGCTGGAAAATTATTAAGTAGCTGCAGATTTGGTTTCTCCTCAAGAAGGGTTCAGCTCCATAAGTAAATAAGTAAGTAAGTAATCACAGTGATCTAGGATCAGGGAATTTATTAAATGTGGCATCAGCATTACATAAAAACATTATGATATGTGGCAAACTTTACAGCAGAATGTCACATTGTCTTAAAATTTACATAGAGTATTAATTTTTATTTGCTTCTTTATACTGTATACACATTATGGAAGTTTTGAGGCAACTGACATTCTCAAAGAATAAATTGTACCTTCACAAGTTTAGCTTCAAGACTGCCAAGTGTGACAGACTACAAGGCTTAGTCTTTCTGCTTTACTTGGTGAAAATAGAAATGCTCACTTCCTATTTTCGGCACTTTCCATTCGAACTTATGTGTTTGTCTCTTCATGCACATGTAAACTGTCCCCCAGTGGAACAATGTTAGGCCAGTCTGCTGTAACCATACAATGCAAAGGACTACAATGTTTTGTTCACATGTGTCAGTACTTGGCACTACATCAAAGCAGAGGTAATACCTCACACCCCACTCCAACCAGAGGGACCTGAACCCTTTTGCAGTTCCGAGATGGTAAAGTTTATGACGGGTCACAATCCCCGGACTAAACCCAAACCAGCCCGACACTCTCCCTACTTTTAGAAAGAGCCATATGCTCTAATAAAAGAGAAATCTGTCCAAAAGACATTGGAGAGAACCTTTTGTCATGTAGAGAGATGGCCATCTGACCGGTCATAACTCGCCAAATGTTCAAAACCGCTTTTAGAAAGGAGCGGCGAATTGTTTCAATAGTAGAGTGAAGGGACCAATTTTCAACACCCGATTCTTCACGGACCTACCCTTTGAAGACCGTGAGATTGAACCCTCTCAATCCACCCCGGGTCAGAAAGACTGTGAAAGCGTGTGAGCCCAACTTTCGCCACAAAACAGCTGACCATTGGAGGAATGAGAAACTCTGTCGAACCCTCCCCCCTATTGTCTAAATGCAGCCAACCAGGAGATTTGGAGGATGGCAACGAGGCGTTCTCCAAATTTTCGCGGGACCCCTGAATCTTCAAAAACAGGGAGTCAGTTCTTTTAAAAAGTCTCGTAAGAACAGTTAAAGTCGCCGGACGCGGGGGCTAGCCCTCTCCATCATCTGTTAAGTGAAAATAGTGTTTGAACAACGGGTGGAGATCATAGTAAAATAACGACCTGAGTTCTATCTCAGTGACCCTCAGATTACAAATCAATAAAGTAAGTGGTGCCAAGTGTCTGTGTGTCCAGTGTGTTCTTTTCTCCTCGTCAGAGTAAGGCCCTAAACGACCTGAGCCAGAGTCTCACGCCAACCACGACTAGCCCGATCACCATCAGCTCCCACCCTGTCCACCTTTTCCCTTCACTTTGCAGCTGTACCCACAGACAAATCAGGCCAAGTCCCGGACCTGATACCCTTTTCCATAGTGAAGAGAAGTGGTGGAGTTGGAGAAGCGGTGGAGCCAGATAAAGCCGACCTAGCTGCAAGCTCCACGACCAACGACGGCAGCGGCGAGAATGACGAGAAAGGAAGGAAGGTAAAGAGTAGCGACCAACCAGTGTGGCTAGAAGCTTCACTGAGGGGGACGGTAAGACTGCTCAGTAACTTACTGGCTACTTAACTTCTGTAGATCGCTTAGGAAATCTTCTGGCGTAAGAATATTTGACGAACCTGAAACACAAACAAAACAATCTTTACTCTACATACCACTTTACTAAACCACAACTCCATGAAGCAGAATCGTGCTTCAGCAGGCAATGAACACTCAGATGATGAAGAATCTCCCTCTTTTGTAGAACCCAAAGATTCATTAGTGTTTGCAACAGCCTGTCACTGGACTTTATCCTAAGCCAGGTTACTCCATTTCACATCCTCAGAATCTAGATCCCTAAGATCCATTTTAATATTATCCTCCCACCTTTGCCTAGGTCTCCCTCCAAGGCTTCCAGATAAAATTCTGTGTATATTCTCATCTTTCCCATATATATGTAGGCGAGTCAAATGAAAATCTTAAATATTTTTTGAGTATTACTTATTGTGCACAAGTGGTACAAAGCTGTATCACTTTTCTACATAATCTCCCCCACACTCAATGCAAGTGCTCCAGCACTTACAAAGTGCATGAATTCCTTTAGAAAAAAATTGTTTTGTTAGGTCACGCAACCACTCATGCACCATGTGGCATACCTCTTCATCAGAATGGAACGTCTTTCCTTCTGCTGCAATTTCATTTAGTGTCACTCGGCGGTTTTCCCTCACTGTGGCTTCAACTGCTGCAGTGTTCTTTGGAGTCACAACTCGATCTGCCTGACCTGGACGAGGAGCATCTTTCACTGAAGTCACACCATTTGCAAACTTCCTACTCCATTCGTACACTTGCTGCTGTGAAATGTGCATCACCATACTGAAACTTCATTCTTCGATAAATTTCAATAGGTTTCACACTTTCACTACACAAAAACCGAATACCAGAACGCTGTTCTTCCCTGGTGCAAGTCACAAGTGGGGCAGCCATCTTATACTGGTCCTTTGATGGTGTTCGTGCATCTGCACTCTGCTGCAACCTAAAGGCCATTTTACACGCTGTTTGTAGCATGCTTGCCAACTTACAGGATAATGGCGCGAAATTTCGATTTTTTACTACAAATTTAATGTTTTCATTTGACTCGCATGACCTACCAATGTCATCCTCCACAATTTCATCACCCTAATAATACTGGGTGAAGATTATTCAATTTCAGTTGAACCCAAATTTGTGCAGGCAATCTTGAGATAAAACAGCTATCAAAGAGACAAGTAACTCAGATAGACTTGGAAGGACTCTGACGATGGTGTATACTGTACTTCTTCTGGACTTCACCCATTGTCTGGTATGTAAAAGACAAAAAGACAAAAAACCACGACGTTTCGGAGACTGGATCTGTCTCCGTCTTTAGGAGGATAGGGAAGGATAAACCCTGCTTCTAGTGATTGAGACTAGCTCTTTCTAACACGCCCAACTAAGAAGGTTTATCCTTCCCTATCCACCTGAAGACAGAGACAGATCCAGTCTCCGAAACATCGTGGTTTTTTTTCTTTTTGTCTTTTACATACCAGACGATGGGTGAAGTCCAAAATAAGCCAAAAGAAGTATAGACAAGTAACTGTTCAAAAGGAGTAGGCACATCATCCCTTGGCAGTAATTTTACATCACTATAGTTCCTTGTAACAGACCACACAATAACCTTAATATACACGTAAAACATAATAACAACAACAACAACAACAACAACAACAAGTGAGTGTCAATCAACCTTAGCGCCACAGTCAGTTATGATCTACTGTGACTGAGCTCTGAGGTTCTTACAGTAGTGACTGTGAATCTGACACCATATAGTCTCGTAGATAACTGCCATAGTACATGGTGTCACATTTCAGAAAGCAGAAACCTACATGCTCTAGTGTGTCCCCAACGGAGACTGAATAATCTGGATTGAAATCAGTATCACAGCTGAAAAGAAATCCTTAGTGTTGCACTTGCGATTATTCATGCGTCATCAAACTTTACACAGCTTTGGCCACAGATCCAGTAATACAGTCACCCACTTACCACTGTCTAGATAACTGGACCAGCCAGTGGTAAAGATAGTCTCAGTACAAATATGTAGACCACTATAAATTTAATAAATTAATTATGGTTTCAGTATTACTGTGTATCTTGTATAAGGGCAGAAAGCATAAGAACTTATGAACTGATACGGTTCTTCTCATCTTAAATATTAAATACTTGTAACTTAGCTTATAACATCGTTAAGAATATTTCCACATGAAGTATATGGTGAGACTGAGTTTGTGGAATTTATTGACTTGCTGTAAGAAGTAAGTTGTATTTCTGGAGCCCTGGCTATGTTCTTGTTCACACACTCTGTGCTGAAATGTTACAAAATTAATCCATAAAAATCTCAAATATATGAAAGACCAAACTCACCACAAATAACTTCCCAGTTCTTTACAGCTTGAGTCACCTCATAAGCACAGCGGATCTCAGAAAAGCACACTCCTCCAACAACAAACACAATTATACGAGGAACATTCTTCACAGTTTGTTGCCCTTTATCCTTATGCCAATGTCCATACCGTGCACTGCATACAGAAAAATGTTACCGGGATCTCATTACAATGTGTTCAGTGAGACAGGAACAACTGGCATTCAAGAGAGAAAATTTTAAATTTGGCACACAGAAAAATCTTATCATGAAAATTCTATTCTTCAATTCAGGAGTCCTATTTAATTAGCAAATGTATTTCAATTAGCCAGTCATTCAGCCGGTAAGTAGCGCTCTAGACCAATGTTTTTCGAACTATGGCACTGACATCGCACAAGTACCAAAGATGCTTTCCAGGGGCATCATAAATCCTCATTTTCAGGACTCCCACTGCAAACTGCAAATTGTGGGTATTACAAGCCTGTATATATAACATACATAAAGGAAATCAGTGTTCATTTACAAGAGCATTAAAATCTGAAGTTGCATCCTTTCCAAGTTTTCCTTCCCCCACCCCCCATCCCCATTAAATGTTCAAAAAGACAGGAGGAAATCATACAAGTACATGTGATACCTGACAGAAAGATATTAGAGAATTTTAGATATTCATGAATGACATCTGTGAATTCTTCACTTCCATTTAACAATCATGTGAATTCCAGTAGGAATTGTGTTTTACACATGCATTTTTAATTTTGCATACCTTGTAGGTGCATGGTAGCCAGATGATGCTGCACGCCCAGCAAGGAAGGGAAAATGCTTAAGGTCAAGCTTATCTTCAATACAGTCCTCCATAATGTCCTTGATGACAGGAGTCCATCGAGACATCTGGTAAGTCTGCTCTGTGATACGTTCCTTACGTGCTATTTGGTATATCTTCTTTCGATTGCCCTGGAAACGAATTGTCACAAATCAAATGTGGAACTGGGCGTCTAGGAATTTTTGAGAGAGATCCAGGGCTTGGCCTATCATACTGTGATATACAGTGAATGTTAACAGGAATGATGACTTGTTTCATAAGGATAAGTAATCATTTGTGAAACATATCACACAATTCAGCCTCAAGGTATACTTATTATAGCCATAAATCCCTTACTGCAAAGCTTATCAAACTACGGACATCTGCATGGAATCAATAATTATTTTGTACTGCATTCCATTAATTATTTACCATATCAGAAAATGTTTCAAATGAAAGCTGTACATCTCAACTATGTTAACTCCATGGAGCGCAGTTCCTCTTGAGAAGCTAAGTCATTCACTTAATCCAGTATTCTGCGGCACGCTGGTTTGCTGTCACAAGGTTAATGTGACGCAAACTTTTGTCTATTGTAAGAAATTAATTGTCAAATTAAATTAGTTTTATTTTATCCCAGTTACCGTGTTTCATTTGCTTGTATTTTATTCTCAGCCACTGCACTGATTAAATAGAATGATGCTTGTTTTTTCTTTATTACATGCCGTGATTTTTTATGTACAGTAATGTTGTATTCTAAGAAATTAAACGTAATTTATTTACTCACAGTTGTTGTTATATCATAGTTTTCATTATTGATTTATTTTTATTTTTTTCGCATCTATGTGGTTTCTTTGATAAACTTACCGCATGTTCTGTAAACGTGCTTTTCCCTAAAACTGCAGGGATTAGGAAGGGTTTCCATCTTTTATAACGCTATTTTGGTTATCATGAGGACAAGTGTTAAGGCGAATATTTGAACTTAATGGGAAGGTACGTGCATTTTTTGACTGTTGAGGGGCATGAGTACGCAGATTTATTTGCAGATGATGAATGGATATGTAAGTTGGCATATCTTTCCGATATTTTCATACACTTGAATGAGCTGAACAGAAAGATGCAAGGCAGGAACGAAAATAAACTAACTAATATGGATAAGGTACAAGGATTTGTAAATAAGCTGAATTTGTGGATACAGAGAATTACAGATGGGTCGTTTGAGATGTTCCCGACTGTATGGTCACTTGCTGACGGCATTAAAATGGTGATGGACACAATTAAAGAACATTTAGAAATGCTGCAGCAGACATTCAATAAGTATTTTTGAGAGAGTGTTCAAGATTTCAACTGGGTTTGTGATCCATTTGTTGCAAATTCAGAACATCTTCCGATTAATATACAAGAGGAACTTGCAGATTTAAAAGCAGACAGAACATTGAAACTAAAACTTCTCAAAGTGCCTTTGGATACGTTTTGGCTGACAATAAGGAGTGAATACAAGCCTATCTCCAAGATGGCAGTAAATGTGTTGTTGTCATTTTCAACTACATATTTGTGTGAACTGGGCTTCTCGACATTAACTGAAATTAAGATATCAAAGAGGGAGCGGCTCAAATCCATCGATGAAGAAATGAGACTTGCGTTGTCAACGATTCCGCCACGGATCAGTCGCCTGTGTGCAGCTACACAGGGGCAAGTATCACATTAAAGTTATGAGTAGAATTACTGTATTTACTGCAACAGTAATAGAAGTGTATTTTCTACACTCTACAGTGAATTAAAGTTCATTAATTGTTAATAAAAGCACGAGTCGATTTCTGTTTAATGATAATAAAATAATAATATAGTAATAAGTTGATCACGTGACATATTTATATTAATTGTCTGATATGCGTTTTTGAGGGAAATAACATTTTGGTGTGCCGTGTTGAGTCATGGATACTTCATGGTGTGCCTCGAGTAGAAAAGGGTTACGGAACACTGACCTAATCAACAAATTTCCTACCATTTACTGAACCTAAAGGTTGATTACCATGTTCACAAGAAGCTGTCACTAATCCTATCCTGAGCCAGATGCATCCAGTTCACACCTTCACACTCTATTTAATACCAATTTTAATATTATCTTACTATCTATGCCAAATTCTTCCAAGTGATCTCTTCCGTCTTGGTTTTCTGACCAAAATTTTGTAGTTACACATCTTAATGAGGTCTATATTTACGTCATTCGCCAATTTTTTAAAAAATTCATGACGTTAAGTGTTTGCTACATGCAAAGCAACAGTTATTGTTGGATGTTATGCACTGAAATGAAATTTATCTGACAAGCTTTAGTGTAGACACCACCATACTAAATTTTATTTAAAATGTTTCATTTGTTTCAAAGGTTATACATGTACTTGAATAGGCAGACATGATGTGTTATGTATTCATTTTATGGACTTCATGCAAAAAACTTGGTTCACTCTACAGAGAGGAAAAATTATGATAACTAGGATTTACTTACATCAATGACAACATTGAGTCCTAGATTAGCCATGTTGATGATCGTATGTCTGTCCTCTGGAGAAATCTGCGCATGCTGGACTAGCTTTGTGAGATTTTCATCACTGATGCCATTCTTTGAGATGATGTACAGTGCAATAATGCGCATCTTATCTGTCGAAGATACCCCTTGATCCAGCAAGATCGGTACAATGTTTCGCATGTGATCCTTGATTCTTTCCCCTTCTGCATCTGTGCCCATAGCCAAGTCCTGTGTTGCAACAACATGTCCAATTAATTCAATTCAAAATTAAGATCGCCACTGTTGCTGTCACGCAGTTATTTAATCATGCTTTTAGTATCAGATGGCAGACTAACTGATGAATGATGAATTGAAAGGATTTGGAAGAAAGCAACTGTGGCCTAATCACTGTATTATCCCAGCATTTGGCTGGGGGGACCTTGGAAAGCAGAGAAACCTCAGTCAGAATAGCCAGTGTCCTGATGGAGATTTCATGTGAACAACATGCAACTAAAAATGAAGATCATGAAGTGACTGCATTATTTATTCAATAAATAGACAAATATGTGAATGCTAGGATAAACCATTCATCCGCCTTAACAGAGCTTAAAATAAGACTTCTAATATTACTAAATATTAATTATAATAATAATAATAATAATAATAATTACTAAACAATAGAGCACAGATTCACAGGAAGACAATTCAAACTACAGCTAGGGAGACAAAATGCAGCTCAGCTTATAAAATGCAGAGGAATAAGATTTGTATGTACACAACAGGACCCCAAAGTTTCCAAGCCATACCTGCTCAACTTTGCAGAGTTTGTCCACATAGCCCTGAAATGCCTTCAAACAATCTTCAGCTAAGTGGAGATGAGTGGAGTACTTCCTCAGCTCCTTCTGATACTGTGGCATCTTCTTAATCATCTGTGACAAATCACGCATTGACTGCTTGTCTCCTTGTGGCATATGTTTTGACTCGATGAATTTTTTTAAATTCTTTGTTACGTTCCTATACAAAAAAAAAAACAGACAGTCAATATAACAAGAAAAATTATTAGTAACAAAAAAAAAATACTCTAGAATCTACATTTAATCTTCTGACATCATGAGCATCATCATTGGCAAACCACCCCTTTTTGACCCACAGCCTTCCTTTGAAGATTCTGCCAGATCTTTCCAATCCTGGGCATATGATCATCCAGTTTTCACTACTTTGGATTTCTCAAACAATTTTTTTAAAGAGCATAGTCATCAGCCTTGTTCCCAACCCCCAACCCAGAGGACCAGTTATGTCCCTCAATGACAGGGTGGCCCAGTTATACCCCTAGGCACTTTATTCCCTTCTACTTGCCTTCTACAACTCACAGATCTGCAGTGGCGGTACTCTAACCTGCCTCCACAAGGGGTTTGTTGAGATTAGACTTACATATTTCATCCTCACTATCATCCTACCACAGAAGGCAAAACAGCAACCAAAACGTAGATACTTCTACGCACTTACTGTGACACTACTGCAATATGCTGGTGTCTCATTTCAACCCACAACTCATCATTCTCATCCAGAAGCACTTCCTTCTCTGGAGCACCAGCTGTAGCTTCATACCTGGACAACAAACATGAGATCAGTATATGAAATTCAATGCTCCTTCTCTTTGCACTAACTTGAAATATCAGCTATAAAATATTACAGATTCGAAGGCACATGGGTGACATCTGCTATATAAACTGCTGAGGCTGGGATAGCTCAGTCAGTATGTCAAAGAGGCTACAGGCTGGGGTTGACAAGAGATTTTCTCTTCTCCACAGTATCCAGACCAGCTCTGGGCCCACCAAGCTGCATAGCTAATGGGTATCTGTGACCCTTTCCCTGGGGTACAGTGGCCAGAGCTTGAAGCTGACCATTCATCTCCATCTAGTACCAAAGTCAAGAATGATGGAGCTATACCTTCATTCACCCATATACCTTCACAGTGTGACCTTTCACTTTTAATATAGTACTGCACTTTTCTGTCCTTTAGGGCCAAATACTTCACGTTTCTCAGTTGCTGCAGTTTTTAAAGATTTGAAGATGGTTATATTTAAAAATCAGGCCATTATTCACAACTCTCTGGCTCACCTATCTGCATGGTGACACCCCAGCTGACAACCAGTTTTCATTATGTTTATTACGAAATTTTACCAATACTAATAACCTCTTTACTAGGTTTGCACGGATCTGCAAGAACAGCCATGAGTTCTTGAAATGGTGGCAGAATGCTGCCTCAGCAGACATGGGTTATTCATGTAACTGGGAAAGGAAACCTGGCTGAGCTTCAGCCCAGGTCTTCATAAACATAAATCTAACAACCTACTCAGTAGTTTCCAATTTGAATGAATGAATGAATGAATGAATGAATGAATGAATGAATGAATGAATGTATGTATAAGGAGTTGGCCTTCTTGGCCCTTGCACCGCAACCACAGTGATCTATTGGGCCTATAGTTTCCAATTTAGTTATGACATAAAGGAACATGATCTGTGAAATGAATAAGAAAGGCATCAGCAGGCACAAATAAAGATAACTATCCTTGAAGTGAGTGGATTTCAAACATGTAGGTTACAAGGCTGCCTTACATGAAGTGCAAAATTTGAAGAAAAATGATTAAAATGTGCAGGATAAAAAAAAATATGTTTGAAAAATCATTTTTATTTCAAGCAAAAGTAAATTGATGATGAAATAATATTTCAGTTGCACAGTAAAAAAAAAGTAAAGGTACCCCTGTAACAGACCATGGAGGCCCATAGGGTTGTGACATGTTTAGGTTCCCACATTTTCTAAACAATCAGCTCATAGATGGCGACAAGGTTGTCAGCCCTATGCACCAGACACCCTTTATCCCCAACAATATTCCTGGTACTCATTTCTGTTAGAGGCTGAGTCAACCCCAGGGCCATAGTGCAGCTGGAAGGATTAGGTCAATTGAAAAAAATCCAATGACCTCATCAGAACTTGAACCTGCGACCTTCCGGCTTGTAGCATAGTGGCTCAACCAACTACACTATCATGTAAGCAAAAGTAAATTACTGTTCAACTAGTATTTCAGCTGCATAGTAGAAGACAAATTCACAGTGATTTAAAATAAAGTGCACACAGTGCCAAGATCTATTCTTCTTTCACTTTGTAGGTCACAACTCTTTGTCTTTCAGAAAAGAGTCCTGCACAGTCAATGCCTACTTAAGATGGCTTAACACTCTCAAACTTCTTTCCACAAAGCCCAAGATAGCAAAACCAGAATGAAACAAAACTGCAGTTTATTTTCACTTACTTGTACACATCATTCTCAATAGGCAATAAGTCATAAGCCATTGCTTGTAGTGTCAGTTCATGAAGCAATGGTGAGACACAATCAAAACCTCTGTCTAAAATAATCAGTTGTGACCGAGCCTTCTCAGGACCTTCACCCATCGTAGGTTCATCAGCTTTATATGCATCCAACTTCTGCTGCACCAGCTGTGCCAATTCTACATTCTTATCAAAGTCACTGTAAGAAAAAAAAAAGACTTTTTTTTTTCCCCATCAAAACTTCCCAAACTGTCCTCACAACTAGAAATGATTTGGACTGATCTCTATATATCATTAAAAGGATAACAAAAGCTATTAACAATTTCAGAAAAAAAAAGGCATGTATTTATTTTAAATGTGAATTTTAATAAACATGGGCAAAGAAACACACATAATATTAACATAAACAAAGAAAATCTCAACAGTGAATAAGACACCGATTCACAGAAACAAGAAAAGCAATTCTGTTTCTTTCACCATGTAAAAGTTTTGTTTTAATTTAAAAAATTTAATTCTACTTTAAATACCAAATAATTTGCAGTTTCCTCATAAATATCTGGCGCTTTCAGCACAGTTCTATCCAGGAATTTAAATTATAAATTAAATTTTACTACATTTTGCTATGTTCCACCATTTTAATTTTATCATGTCCTATAATGTTAGAAGGTGCAAAAGATAAATGGGGTGCACTATTACCTAAACTGAACACAGGCTATAACTACACTCAAAACAAACGAGATCTCTCAGAATTACTTTTTCCACCATCCAGTATTCTGGAAACTAGAAAACACGTTTTGGAAAGTGGGTCTGTGTCCGTCCTCAAGGTGGAGGGGAAAATACCTACTCATGTGTGTCCCTTAAAAAGAGCTAACTTCACTCACTGGACAATCCCTGTCAGATTCACCTGAGACCAGGCTAATTCGGCAAGAGGTAACAAGAAAAAATGCAATAAAAATTGTGATTGAGCACTCATGTGTGTAACTAGGATATAAAAGGAGGTAGGAATTTGTGCTACAAACCAAGCCAATAAAATAAAGTGCATGAGCAAGCACAATGCAAAGAAATGCAATAAAGAAAGTTTCTACCAGCTGCACAATTACCTATCTTTTCAGCACCCAGAATAACTTTTCTTCTGAATGCAACATCAAATAAAAAACGCCTTTCCATGAGTAAAAACNCAGGAGGAATGACGACGTCAGCAAGTGCAAACAACACTTCAAGTAGTGTTACATCGACATGAGGAACTTCCGAAGAACGACTTGACCAAGGACTGGACATTGTGGAGGTGTCGAACCCCTCCAAAACAAAAAAGAGCCAGAACACAGAAAAGGAGCTGCTAAAATAGAAGCACCGACCTCCCCGGAGAGAGTGAATGTGCCATGGGAGAAAGTGAAGTAGTGAATGTGATACAACTGCATCTTTGGGCACGTAGCAGGAAACCGCTTGAGATGAGCTGGTCTTAAGAGGAGAGCGGTTGTAATGGCCGGAGAACAGTCGCTGCAAGGAGTAGCCGAAACAACAGGACACCAACCCAGCACATCCTTGGAAGAAAAGGAACGGGGGTGCATCGTTAGGCTATTCGGGACGAACAGCTTTAAGGAGGGAGCAGTGTGACTTGTTGCACAATGGAGGACACCCCTTCCCTCCCCAGCAGTGACGTGGCAGCTCTGGCCACAGTGACGTTGCGGTTGAGTCAGCGCTCCCCTCCCCTTTGCACTGTGACGTGGTACCACTTCCTACTGTGACATGGCACGCAACGCCACTGTTGACATGGGCAACAGGCAACAGTGAACAGAATAAAAGCCAGCTGAGCAGTAAGCGAGAGTTAGTCAGCAGTGAACGAGTTAGTGTGTCAGTCAGCAGTTGGAAGTTAGTGTGTGATCAGGAGTGACACAGTTGGAGTATAGCAAGCAATCGCAAAAAGAAGAACCGGACATGTGTGTAATTGTGTAATTGGGAGTGTGTGACACAGCGACACTTACATAGCTCCCGTACTGTGAATACGTGTAGACTACTGAAGATAGAGTGAACAGATTATTGTGAATAAGGTTATAAAGTGTGAAACCCCGCAACAGTATTGTGATAAATTGTAGCTGATACTTGCAGGTTGTTAAATAAACCAATTAACAATCCGAATGGCATCTTCAGTAACGAAACATGTTACACTGGTGTCAGAAGTGGGATTGGACTTACACACATGATCAACAAGATTCGAACCTAAAGACGTGACAATACGTTGTTCCCAGGCCACCCCATGGACAGTTTGCAGACCAGTAAATAATTCTTCAAATATAAGAAGCACCTCAATTTTCAACAGAAGAAAATGTGAAAAATGTATGTCTTATATCCAAATTAATACAGCGTTTTATAACTGTTAACTTTCCACACAGAGAATGGAGAAGAAAGGGGTGACATCTGTCCAGCTCCCTCTGCCTGTTATACAAATTTTATATTTGACACTGACCACTGTCTGAGGCATTTCTGAAATAGGCAGTGCTTCAGGAGTTGGCGCTACTCCCATTTTCACGTATCAAGAGTCAATTCCTGAAGTGTCATGTACATCAAATATACCTGGGACAATGAGCAATGTCAGCAACAGTATTTGTACAGTAAACCCTCATTATAACAGACTAACAGGGAGAAAGGTTGTCCATTATCACTGATGTCTGCTATAACAGTTCACAGAAGTATGCCATAGGATACATAGCCACTACATGCAATAAACAAAGAAACACACAATGCGATTATGTAAAGGTTTTTATATTGGGGCTCTTTCTTATTTTAAAGTGTTTCCAACTACAAAACCTCAGTGCCTAAACATTGCCAAAAATTCAAAGACAGCCACACTTTGTCAGCTATATCCAAATCTGTTAACTTCAGAGATTCTGACTACTAACTTATGAGCGAGACCGCGCCATAGCTCAAACGGTTAGTCTCTGGCTTCCCACGGGGGCGGCCCGGGTTCGATCCTGGGTCTGGTCAAGAGGGATTTGTGGTGGACAAAGTGGCACTGGGGCAGGTTTTCTCCGAGTACTTTGGTTTACCGTGCCAATCTTCATTCCACCAATTGCTCCACAATCACCCTCACCTATCATCTGGGGCTGGTACAATAGGCCAGAAGTGGCTGCAGTACAAGGGACTCAGTCCCAGCCCACTAGTATAAAAAAAAACTTACGAGCGATATCTCACAGAGGGATACTCCCCAAGAGTGGCACACAGTGTGGCTATCTGTTCAGCCATGCGTTCCATGTTGGCAGTACGACTACCAGTAAACATCGGATTGTAGAAGCACTGAAATGTATTGGGTGAGTCCAGTGAGAAAACCTGCAAATGGAAATTGAACATGCTGTCACAACACAATATATGTAGAACTGTAGTCTGTGAAAGATCTGATTTATATATTTTTTAATTAACTGTAATTTTTCAATACACACCACTTTTGAGAAAGAGACCAGTTTAAATTAATGATGCTGTATCAGCTATTCAGATCATTAAAGATTGATGATTTTTGTGCCTGGTAATGGAAAGAATACAAAACAAAAAACTCCATGGCTTGAGTCTGCAAGCGAACTATACCAACTGAGCGACCACTGCTTTGCCAGTGAAGTTTGTGTCAACTTTAGCAGATAGAGGTTGTCACGCGGTCAGTGCAACAAATCCCCATGGCCATTAATTTCAGTTTTCTAGACCATAGCCACTATTTCCTTGAAACAGCTCATCAATTTTCCTCGCAAGGCTGAGTGGACCCTATTCCAAACACACTACTCCTTAGAAAATCTGGTAGTGCCAGGAATCAAACCCGGACCTCTGGATATGTATGCAGGAACTCTGACCACAAGACCAGAGATAGAGGAATTAATCACAGGACTACCAGAAGCCAAAGAAATGTGGCTTTATCTGATAAAAGCATAACAACTCAGTTTAGTACACAGTAATGTTGATTCAAGAAACTTATCTGAAGTATTAGTACTGACTTTAAATTGAGTAGATATTTGACAATTGCTACAGATTTAAAGTACAAAGTTCCAATTTGTTCCAATCTGAGCACAGATTCAAACATATAACCAGTTCCTGAATACCTACCAGACCTAATGGAGAAAGGGGCTGTACTTGTAAACGTGAAATATGACCAGAAATACATTTCCCAGAATGCAGTAAACAGATTTTCCTAGGGCTCTAGTTCATTTAACAGTAAAACCCCTTTTACTCTGTCCCTCTTAATATGATGAATGCCACTTAAAAAGGGGAACTACAAATCACAACTTCAAATGATTAAGCAAAGTTCTAGGAATCAACGTACAAAGATTTTGGCACAAATCACTGTCAGAACATAAAGATTATTCTTAATCTGCCGTATTTTATTCAAAGAGATAACCAGCCCATAAATAACCAGGAGTTGACGGTAACTAACTATCATATCTGGTCAGGCACCTTTAAAACCTGAACACACTAGTTGTGAACACTAAAACACACCGGGATGGTAAAAGATATTAGGTACTTTAATGATCATGAGTAAATAAAATACAAATCAACTGAATTTGCTTGTAAGTCAGCACTAAGTGACTCCAGAAGCAATAACCCATTTTAGCACCATTCCTTACTAGATACGTAAGCTTAAAACGGCAATAAAAATCAAATTAAAGCACTATAAAGAAACAACTATTGTCTCATTGAAGCAAAAGCAGTCTTACATTTTGTCAGTAAAATTCTATGAAGTTACACATCTTTCTATTATTCTTCAATAGCACGGATCTGTTCCACTCTGAAACATTTATATAACACAAAACAGTGAAACCCTCATTTAACATTCTTTCATTTAAGGTCTCTGCTCATTTAACATTCAATTTCAGTGATTTCAATCGGTAATCTTAAGTGTTCAGTTCTTCCCATTTAACATTTCAGGTTGGCATTCAAATCCACTGCACCCCAACGAAGTCTTCAATGAGGGGTTCTGTATTAACAGGTTAACCTAAAAGCCCTTTATATTCTACAGTTTAATACATTAGTGCATCAGCTGGAATTCAGTTTTACTGTGTTGTGTTGAGTCATGTTCTACAGAGGATTCAACTAGACTCCCATGCTAAAGTACATATTTGAACACACTGAATACTGCATTAAGATTTTCAAAGCCACTACTGTGAAGTAAATACACGAAAACTTGTTAAAAACTAAATAAAATAGTATTACAAAACCATGCCAACAAAAACAAAATTGCTATTAGCAAATGTTCACATGATTCATATGCAGCTAAGTAAATAAGGCAAGTCAACTTATTTAACAAGGCTATCTAGTAAGTAACAAGGCAAGCAGTTGTTTAGTTAAAAGAAAATATTAAGGTAAAACAGGGGGGCACACAATAGTGTAATTGGTTGAGCCACTATGCTACAAGCTGGAAGTTTGCATGTTCAGTTCCTGATGAGGTTATAGGATTTTTCAATTGACCTAATTCTTCTAGCCACACTATGGCCCTGGGGTCATACCAAGAATCTTCCTGGGGGTAAAGGGCAGCCTTCACATAAGGCTGACAACCTCACTGGCATATGTTAGCTGATGGTCTAGAAAATGTGGGAGTCTCGACATCTCACAAACCTATGGGCCTCCACAGCCTGTTACAGGGATAGCATAAAAAGCTTAAACCTGGATACTGTATGAATAATGTACGAAGTAGAATCAGATGGCAAGAATTTGAATTGTATTGACAATTAACTCCATGGTAACAGAATGTAATAGTCCACCTGCTAATACCAAAGCCTGCCAATGACCAGTCTTTGGCTAAATGAACTAAATGACAGCTTATATTTTAATATGGTTCACACTGAAGACACTAAAAATACACATTAGCAGAAAAGTGTGTATTACAACCTGTCCTTAGCTTCCAATATATTACAAATTAGGATGACTAGCTTTAACCCTTTGACGTGGTCATTTAAATTCCGCGGCCGCGGCTCCTGCGGTAATATATTCAGCCGGCCATTTAAATTTTGCTCGAAAATTATTTATTCATCATTGTTCTTAAATTCTATGAGATAGGAACATGAAACTTTCACTAAAATGATCTTAAATGGTGGTTTTATAACCTTACCTTATAATATGGGCGCCCTGTATCTCGGCCATGGAAGCAGGTTGTTTAGTATTTCAGCAGTGAATGGTACGCCTTGAAGGATGAAACTTTCACTAAAATGATCTTAAAAGATGGTTTTTATAACCTTACCTTATAATATGAGCG